CAAGGTTGGAGAAGTAGTTCTTTAATTTAATCTGGCTTCGTATAATTAAAAACTACCCGACGCAGGCCCCTATTGATGTTGTTGTGAGCGGTGTTGCGGAGAAAATCAGCGATGTAAAACGCTGTGTGGGTCATAAGAAGGCACGTAAACGGTTACGTCATGACGCAAACGATGACGCAATGACGCAATAATTCACCTTTGAACCTAATTCACCTTTGAACCTGCATCTGTAACAATGAGTGGACCAAAGAAAAGAAAAGTCAACATTGAGTGCCGAGTGTATAATGAGGAGTGGACAGCTAAATATTTTTTTACCGATCTGCTACTGGCCCGGCCCGCCTGTCAAATTTAAAACTCATAGTGGCCCCCGAGCCAAAAAGTTTGCCCACTCCTGTTCTAGCCTGTAATTGAGGTAAATATAAAAGCCATTGGACTGATAAAACAGAGACGCCAGCCATAAAATGTCAACACTCTGGGACTGAATCACATTTGTCCTTCTGCTGATTAACCAGCACTAAACAAAGCTCATTGCTTTGTTTGTTGTGGTTTTATACTAGTGTGTGGTGTGGTTTTCGGTGTTTAGAGATTAGTGTTGATACATTTAAGTGATCTGATTTGGATTAGTTAACAAAGAAAAAAATTGCCCTCACTGAGATTAGTGATGAACACTGCACCTATTGGTCCTTTTCAGAAGCCCTAATGATGCCAATGTTGGTTAATCAGTCGATTGGTCGGGAATTACTTTGGTCTCGACTAAAACTTTTCCTCATCTCCGCCATTCTTGTTCACACCTTGGTCACTTTACACATGGACTACTGCAACTCTCTTCTCTTTGGTCTCCCTCTCAAGTACATAGACAAACTTCAACTCTGCCACCCGAATCATCACCAGAACCTGGTCCTCTTCCTGGTCCTCGGTGCCTGTTTTTTTCCTTGGCCCTCACTTCCTGGATTCCCCAGGTTGCCTAGTCCTGTCCCTGAAACCTCTTCCTTGCCCACATTTGCTTAATAAAGCTCACTACTACTCAGCTCCTGTTTCCTGTCAGTGTTTGCATACAGTTTCAGTCCTGTTGCTCAGCCTAACAGAAATATATGTATTATTTTTGTTTTATATTATTTATTTAAGGAAAATGAGGAATGTATTTTCATTATAACATGTTCAGTAATTTGGATAATAACGTGCTAAGATGCTTAAGGTGAAAATGCAGAATATTACATGCATGTTAGTGCATGCTGACATGAGCAGCTTCATAGGGCAAAGGGTACCTGCATAAAAATACCTTTTACATATCATTATATGAATGCTTTTATCTAAACTATCTTGTGTTTCTCTGACTGTAAAAACTGTTATTACTAAAGACCCGCTGAAAAGACATGCTGAAATGCTGCAGACCTACTTCGTGGGGAAAAGGTTTTTAACTTCAGCCTGCTAAGAGTGCTTATAGCACTTATCTCTCTGGATGACGCAGGGAAAGAGAGCAGAGAGGAGTATCGGTGCACTTTGTGGCTTAAAACCTGATATTGGTGGGGAATCATGGCAGCCCGGGAGGCTCAAGTGTGTGTCTCATATTTGTGCCACTGTGGACTTAAACCTGGCTCACTGGACTACGAAAATGATTCAGACCCTTGTGGCACTTCATCTATTTCCTACCCTTTTTTATCCGTACATGTAAAAAAAAGAAGCCAACTTGAATAGGCATTTTCTGCTTATATACAAATAATACATACAATATGAACGTGTTATTGACCAGGCAGCAGCTAGGAGCCAAAATGGTTTCAAAAACTCGAACATCAGAGACGTTGCTGGTAAAAAGGAATCATTTGGACGAAGGTGCAGCACAAAAACAACATCATAGTTGCAAAATCAGCTGGTCAGTTTATAATATCAGATAGTAAATCAACTATTAGAGTTGACTAGAAGTCTGAAAACTCACCTGTTTCAACAGCAGCATAACAAAAAAAAAGATTGACTGTTTCTAGGTTTTATTTAACCAGTAACCTAACAAAGGACACAAACACCCTGATGCCAGGTTAAATGAACTTGACGTTTAGCTAACTTTGTTTGAATATTATGTTTACAGTGTATAAAAAAGCGCAAATATAATTCAAATTAAAACACGGTTTAGTTCAAAGATTGATCCAGCACATGAAAATACAAGACTGCATTAAAGATTTAATTTGAACCCAAATTATTTTAGCATGCCTACTCAACTTGGATAAGCATCACATTGAACGTGGGTTCTCACTTGTAGTGTTACAGGCTTATATATGTGTCCATAACACATTTTACGATCAGTGTGAGGATTTACAGTTCTGAGAGTAAAAAGTGTCAAAAGGAATTTAGAAAATAGCCAAAGCTGCCTTCAAGTCTGGTGCCACATATGTACATAGCTTAGATCCATATTTCTGTAGGCTAATCATGTGTAGCCCCTTTAACAGCAGTTTTTGCAGTTATCATAATGTTAAATCATGGTTTCCATCGTTCTCCTGCTCAGACTTATTTTTCTATATGACGCTCATTTACGTTCTCGTCTCGTCTTCTCCACCGCAATCTTCTCTTTCTCTCGCTAATTTTCCACTCACCCTCTCTTTCCCTCCACCGTTTTCTCATCTCCCTCTCTCACACCTCCTTGCTCTCACACTCTTACGCCGTCGTACCCTCTCTTTTTTTCTTCTTCCCCTGAACGACCCAGCTGCTTCTCACACCTCTTTCTTACAAGGCAGACGAAGATAGACAGAAAGTGACACAGAGAGAGACAGACAGGGGAGGACTGGTGACAATATATGAGAAAGACAATCGCAGATAGAAAACAAAGCTAACAGGAGGGTGATCATAGAAAGTGAGAAAGTGTGACAGAAAAGGATTGGGTCTGATTTCACTTCATCCATCGTTCGCTCACTCCAGGATCACAAAGCCTTTGTTTCCCTTTCCGTTGCCATAGTAACCGTTGGCAATTTCACATCGGAGCCACATGCCCCGCTGACCGACAGCGATCTACAACCCGCGGCACTCGCCTACACACACACACACGCACACACACGCGTGCGCACACACACACACACACACACACACACACACACACACACACACACACACACACACACACACACACACACACACACACACACACACACACACACACACACACACACACACAAACATACAAACAGACACACACAGGCATACACAGGCAAACACATACAAAGAAAGCCAGTTCGCCCTGTTGACCAGCTGCTACAAAATAACATTGAGGCAGCAGCCTACACACACCGAAACTTCTTCATGTCTTGCTTCAACTCAGTGCTTATTTTTGTATACATCATGACAAGATACATTCATATCACATGTTGTCTACAGAATTAAAGCTGAGGAGAATGTACCCACACAAGAAAAATAACACAAAGTGCCTGGACTCAACTGAACCGCTGATTGATGCAGCACCAAGACACATTTGCTCGTCCGAGCAGAACAAGTGGGCCTGGAAAATGGTGACATAAGCCGTCCCATATCTCTGCACAATACCCTGAGAATCAGGTCTGGATATAACACAGATTACACCACAGTCACAAAGCCGGTTTCTAATTTGGTTGTAAGCAACCAAGTTTGCTGGTGAACAGCTGTAGCTGGTGGGCTAACTATTAAAAGCCAGTGCAACCAGGCAAGGGCTAGTCAGACACAACAGCTCTAGGAGAGGAGATAGAGAAGCTTGAATAAAAGCTAATGGTGCTACACAGCTTATAAGCTATGATAGCTTCCTCCATTTCAAACATTCCAGCTCGCTCAGCGTGAATGTTGAAAGTTGAACTCTCTATGTGGAACATTGTCTCAGTCGATTTCACCTCCTCAAGGGGATCCACTAATTTATTGGAATGAATTGATTTTGGCGTGAAATGTCAATGCTTCCAATCCTGGCGTGACTGAGCCTTTAACCTGCATGTCTTTGGACTAAGGCAGCAACAGTAGAAGCCTAAGCAGAAAAGGAGAGGACTCGCATCTCCACACGAAGTGGTCCTAGCCAGTTGGCAAACAGTTAACCAATAAAACACTGTCCTAACGGAATATTCAGGCCTATATTGAGAGAAAAGATTTAGTTATCCACACAATGTTTGACTTTTGATCATTAACAAAGCGTTGCATTTTGATAGGAATTCAATAATCTATACAACCCAGTTGTGATTGGAACAGGCAAACTATAAAACACCGTAAAAGCTGAAAAACCAATAACCATTTAACCTTTTTCAGTCAGTCAGAAATATGAATAATTCCTCCCATACATTTACGAACAAGGTTGACATTATATTGAAAGCCTGAAACCTTTTCTTATTTAAAACATGTTGGCAACCGTCAAAGCAATGCATCTAATCTGTAGCTTGATCAAAACAAGTGTAATGATTGCATGGAACCTACTTGTGGAATCTCATTAAATTGGCAGCCCCAATAGCGCCTTTTAAACACACTACAGTACCAGACCCACGTTGGAAGAAATGTTACACCATCCTACTGGGCTCAGCAGGCCGAGGCTCATGCCAGATGGTCAAGACATCAGAGTTTGGTTCTGGCTCACAACATATACCGTCTGTGGAGCAACATAGACAACAAACAAAATCCTCTACTTCTCTGCTAGAAGAGCCAGCAACGGCGGATGTGACCTTGAAAGCACTACAAACACTTAAAATGTTCCATCCTCCCTTCAGTCCTCTTTTTATTTCTGGTTCCCTTTTACCCTCTGTTTATATCCACCTCGCTGTAGTGGAAACGCACAGCATGGAGAAGCACCAGATATGAGTTTGACTCCCTATGATCCGAACATTAATATATTATCTCTTTGTTAGCCTTTTATCCTCAATCTGCCATTTTCATCCCACGCTGATCCCACCTGTTTTAAGAAGACAAAACATTCTTTATTTTCTTCACTCTTGACCCTTAATCCCTTACTTCCTCGCCCACTTCTCTCTCCATTTGACAGTTTCACTCCTATCACATCATTCCTCCATCCTTACCTCCATCCAGTTTCCATCCACCTCATGGAAGAGAACACAGAACGGGTCCGACTTGGAGGCTACATCTCGGTCCAGCAGGCTGCTTGCGGTGACGGACAGCTCCACCCGAGTGACGCAGTGCTGGGGTCCGACACTGCGCGTCTGCTCCTCAGTGGTCGAACCTAGAGTGTAGGCCATGGTCTGAGGTCACAGTGAATTACCCTGGAGGAAAGAAAACACAGAGAAATACAAAAAGTATTTGGGCATCTATGATTCTCTGAGCAATGTTAAGTTCCCAAACATCTGGTAAATGTTGAAAACTGTCACTGTGACTTCATCCTATGGGGCGGACCATTAATGTCTGTAGCAAGTTCCATTTAAATCCATCTGTCTGTGCTCTTAAGACATTTGAGTTGTGTAAGCTTATTCTGCATAAATACTTGTAACTGTCATTAAAATAAATGCCACAATAAACTGTACACAAAAATCTAAAAACGTCTGTAACCAGTCAGGGCAGAGATCGCTCCTTGATGTAATGAACAATGAAAAAACAAAGACATGTATATAATATAATACAAAAAAGAAGCGTTTACCTAACACAATCTCTGTGAAATGAACTGAACTGTAGGATGTTGTTTACAGTACATATACAACACTTCACAGGAGCTTCTGTGTTGTATGTCTTACACTGACAGCCCACAAAATCGTAAATTACTAGAAACACTGCTGCAAAGAGAAAATAAGATGCAAGCAACACACTGGGTGTCAATATTTGTTGCCGGGCAGATTTCCATAAAGTAATGATTGGTTTCACCATGGTAGATCATTCTGCTACAAAAGATTATAACATTTAGGACACATTTCAATGTTTACTTCCATTGGATATATATCAGATGATTTCTTATTTTTATATATTATGAGAAATATAAAAACATTAATCACAATAACAACATGTCTCCCGTGCTTTACAGCTCTAAATACTTCAGTTTAATTAGACTGAAGTCTGATTAATGCTGGTTGGCTTTAAATACCCACTAAGGGAGAATGAAACACACAAACACACGTGCAGGTTGACCATGTGTAGGTCATGAACGCCCTATGGAAACCCTGATGATATCCAGCAATGAACATTATGAAGAACACACCCACACACACACACACACACACACACACACACACACACACACACACACACACACACACACACACACACACACACACACACACATCAAGGCCATCGCAGAAGCTCTAAAATGGAGAAGCCTCAGGCAAAGGAAAAAAAGGCCTAATGAGAAAACACACATTTACGGTAACACTTTTGAGTGTACTGAAGAATTGTGTGTGGGAATATGTTAACAGTAATAACTTGTGTCATATTTGACATGATTTCCTTGAGGCTCTTTTCTGCAGATGAAGAGCACAGCACCTTGTGTCCATAAAGGTGGTTTTGTTCTCAGAGCGGCAAGCTAAAAGGATGCTGTCTGTTGCTAAGATACTAATGTGTCATAACCAGCGTGCTCCTCCCGGTCTGCTCCTGTGATGTCACACTGGTAGTGGTGATGTACTGAAAATACCAGTGTAATATTTTCATTCATTCACTCAGCCATTCATCTGTGGTCGAATGCTGGTTTTGACTGGCTTTAATACATTAACCAATTTATTCATTGTTTGTGAAAAATAATGGATGATAATTAATTAGAGATTGTACTGCCCCTCTCATAAGATTACCTCTTAACAATTAGACACACACTATCTGTTAGCAACTGCCATTAACAGACACTATCTACAAAAGTAACACTTGATTCTACAATAGATTATTGAAGGTGTTACAGAAGGATATACTGATACGTTTATTTATTTCCTTGCAAATTAGTATGTTTTAGTTAGGCCTTCACAATTAATCAACATTTTCACAACATGGACTAGTGCAATATCCAAATCACAGGAAGCATTAGATTTGTTAACCACTTAATATGTGTTAAAATACCATTTTGAATATAGTGTGGATCTACAGAGATATCCAGGCTTACAAATAGCACTCAAAAAGAGGAATGGTAAAAAGATGGGGGGGGTGGGGGATTATTAATATTTTATATATCATAATCTCAATATCGGTTGAAAATAATCGCAATTAGTTGTTTTTTTAAATCATGCAACCCTCATTTTGTTTTGATCTGGTATAATCACAAACATGGATGTTACCTAACTTCTAAAGCTGTAAGCGGGGAAAAAACATAATTTTAATATATTCCAATGTTAATCCAAAAACTGCTGCTGATCCGCTTGGAATACTGCTCTGCAATTAACCTGGACCTGCTATTAAAACCATATCACCTCCCTTTTAGTGTACACTATTATACGAACACCAATTGCACTATGTGAGAGTGGAGCAGCAGTAACTGCACTGAGTTTGGGTCTCTGGGTGTCCTGACCCTGCTAAAGACATCCACACCCATTCACAGTGCACATCCACACTGTAGGAGCACAGGGGCCAGGCTCAGTGGGGCTGGCAGACGATTAAAGCAGCATGGAAGCTGCTCCATACTAGTTAATAGCACAGTGATGAGTGAGTCATAATTTTAGAGAATTTAAACATAAAACAGGTTCAAATAAAAAGCAGCAATTCTGGTTCGAACACAAATGCACTTTTGTTTGTTGCCTTTGTCACAATTTCGTTTTGAACGTTTTGGTTTCAGTCATTTTGACAACTAAGGCGACTAAGCAGCCACTCTGTTTCCCTCTAACAGTAAACCACATACCAGCTAACTGTTACATATCTAAAAATGCATATAAATGAGGCACAAAATGAAGAAACTGATGTCACACTCACCTCAGTAAATGACGTCAAACTTCTTTGCCGCTTTTACAATTTCTTTAATTTCTGCCTTCAGTGTGCAGCAATTTTATTTTTATTTAATTTTTTCTACCAAAGAGTAAAAAAGGAAGTTACGTTTGCCAACAGTGTGTGATGGTAAATAATCCTCGCAGCCACCTGGACCTCTCTCTCTGCCGGCAGCGCCACTGATGGACCGACCTGCGTCAAGCTCACAGGACTAGTTTACGATCGGAAGCACTGCCAGTTTCCCTTACAAAATAAAAGGGTTGCTTTAAAACACATGCACAACACTTCCGTCTCCAATGTTTGTGTTTGTGTTTTTTTAGGTACTACTAGTACTATATATACTTTTTGTATAAGCGTTAGTCTTTGACTGTAGAGTTTAACATGCATACCCTTTAATGTTTTCTATTTGCAAGCCTACTCTTAATTAGTTTGTCGTAGCTTGTGTAATTTTATATTCAGTAAATTTACTAAAACTCATTATAGAAAATATATTGTTACAATGGCATCCTCTTGAGGTTAATAAAGGTACTACAACCAAAATACATGGAATGCTTTTCAACACGGTTCAGTTACTTTTCAAGTGGTGAAGTATTACAGTTTTTTTCAGTTGCTAACACACAACAATTTCACATAAAGCATCATTATTTAAACTCACACTCAAAGAGCAAAACATGAGCTCATACTCCAAAACTCTAAACACATTTTCAGCTCCCAATTTGCAATTCAACTTGGCACTTTTTGCAAAACACTGCACACGGTTCTCTAACTAAGTAAGACACAAACATCTGACGTAGTCACTTGTTTGCCATTTTCAGAACAATGCCATTAAAAATGCCATGAACCAATTAACAGATACACATGCCAAATGACCATAAACACCAAACTGCTTTATTGTTGACTCAGCAATCAGGATGTAAGCACTAGATAAAGGCTTTATATAAGAACATTTTACAACAACAATGGATATATGGACAGCAGAAAGAGGAAGAGGTAGAGGGAGGATAAAAGAGAGGGAGGATGAACTGACTGAAGTCAATTGAAGAGTTATTTGCAGACTAACTGTTGAAGCTGTTTGACCGTCAGGTTACAGGTGATACTTCTTCTGCAGGTTGACGAGGAGCTGTGGTCAGACCCAGCTAGGTGTTCAAATGCAGCCTAAGTATTTTTCTTTCCTCGGTTTTTTGTAAATATATGTTTTGTATTTCTTTTTCCTCAAAGTTTTCTTTTCCATTTACTGTATGCAGAGGCATCATTTTTATTTACACAACAGTAACATTGTGTTGTACATGAATGTTGCACCCATTTATTTTGGAGTAAAACAAAAGTATTATAACAGTATATGTGTGTTTCTGCACATATTTAGACTTGAACAATATGTATATGCAGAATTATCTACATACAGATCACCATAAAAGGTGAGTGTGCTTTTGATAAAGAACACTGGTGTAGTTGGTTGGACAAAGGGTCTTATACTATAAATCAGGGGTGTCAAACTCAAATACACAGTGGGACAAAATAAAAAAATGGGTACTAGTCGAGGGCCGGACTGGTTCAATGTTTATTGCAAAACTTATTGAAATGAACTTATTGCACATATTAAACCTGGAACTAACACAGCTTAAATTATTGCCTATAAAAACAACATTAAACATTAAATAATCAGTTGCATTCATTTCTTATGGCTCTATCTGCAGCTTTTCCGGAGTCATTTCTTATGATTACATTTTTCCACAGGCCAACAACAGCTTCAAAAAAACTATTTCCCTCAAAGAAAAAAACAAACATGCCCTGTTGTCGCAAGAAAAAAAGTGCAGAAGGAAACATCCATTTAAACTCAGGTTGCTGCTCTGTGATGCTAGTTCAGATACTTGGCATCTCATCTTGGGTGCAAGTTCATCAATGTTTGGGCTCAGGCTCTGAGCGGAGGAGATCCTCAGGATTGAATGAAGGTGTGCGTACAATATACCGGCGGGCCAGATCTAATAGTAATAAAAAATGATCCTGCGGTCCGAAATTAAATCCACCAAGGGCCTGATTTGGCCCCCGGGCCTTGAGTTTGACACATGTGCTATAAATGAAGTGTGTGCCATTTGGTGCAAAAGTTTGGATTTGGTAAGTGTTTATGCAATTTTCTGTGCAGTGCTTAATTTTGCAAGAAAAATTAAGTGTTTTGCACTTTGGGTGTGTGGTTTTGAGAATTGTGTTAAGTGTCTTTGACAAAATGAGCTCTGTTGTCAAACAATGTGTTTTAGCAATTGAAAAAATCTGTAATATATTAAGTAGTGAGGCCTTGTATAAACATCAAAATGTGCACAAACTGTTGAAAAATATAGCATTATGCAGTGGAATGGCCCTTTTCATTATTATGTTATTAAGTGTCTGTCATATGATTATTGTTACTGATGGATTACTACTTATGTTTGATGCTGGTGGGATTTAAGCTACTTTATACTGTTGTGTAGGATATCCAAAACAGTGTGCGGATCAAATGAGTTGCATGATACACCTTCAACTAAAATGAACCACATTAACTAAAGCTGTCAAACAGATGCAGTAGGGAACACATCTCCCTCTGACAGAGTCGGGAGAAGTACTCAGATCTTGTACTTGAGTAAAAGGAGACGTATCTTGCTTGTGAATTTACTCCAGGTGAAACTTAAATCTTATTTAAGTGTTGATAATATTTCACAACATTAATCCAAATCGGCAAAGTAACTAAAGGTATTCAATACATGTAGAGGAGTAAAAGTACACTATTTACCTCTGAAATGTAGTGGAGTTAAATTACAAAGTAGTAATGGAAATACTCAAGTAAAGCAAAAGTATCTCAAAATTGTACTCTGTCCTCTGAAATGTAGTGGAGGACAATACATATTCATGTTTCTTTTGTTTGTTTTTATTATGCCTCCTGTAGCACCTTGGGATTGCTGTTAGCAATGAAAGGTGCTTTACAAATCAAATTTATTATTATTATTATTATTATATGGAAATAAGAAAAGTGTGTCTAGTAAAATGCAATGTGATATTGTCCAAAGGCAGTGATAGAGACAACAGTATAAATAGAGAGCTTAAGAATCAATCATTAAACATCAGAATAAGTGTGTCATGTCTTGCTAATGTGCCTGTGAATGCAGTTATCTGCCCAATATCTACACCACCAGTCTAGTCCACAAGAGGGTGCTAGATCATTAAAAACTAGAGAATGCAATTCCTGAAGAAATTGCTAGTGGGAATGCTTTATGCTGAAAAGCTGACGCTAAACTGCTATGCTGAAATGTAATGTGTAAGAAGAAAGTGAAGAATTTAGATTGAAATGATACATGAACACTGGGGGCTTGAATGTGTGATGAGTGAAGAAAAGAAAGTAAAAAGGCTTGGAAAAGCAGCAGAATATTTGAACTGCAAACTTTTGAACTAACTTGATGGTGAATGATCTGTCGCCATGGCAACGGCATTTGATGACACCCCATAATACGCTTAGATGCGTTGATGGCTGCATCGTTACCAAACCTGTGAAGTTTTGGGCCGTTTGGAACATTTTCACTGAAGTTATGAGAAAAGCGTGTTTCATGGCGAGCATTGTGTTGCCATGGCAACGGCATTTGAAGAAACCCCATAATTGATGTAGAGCTGTTGAGGGCTGGACCGGTGATATACAAGCGAAGTTTGGGGGACGATCGGACCGTTTCCATTGGACTTACAGCGACATCGTGCTTCATGGCGAGTGGTCTGTCGCCATGGCAACGACATTTGATGACACCCCATAATACGCTTAGATGCGTTGATGGCTGCATCGTTACCAAACCTGTGAAGTTTTGGGCCGTTTGAAGCATTTTCACTGAAGTTATGAGAAAACCGTGTTTCATGGCGAGCATTGTGTTGCCATGGCAACGGCTTTTGAAGAAATCTCAAAACTGTCTCGTAGATGTCTTCACGGCTGGACTGTTAGCACACATGTGAATTTTGAGCACTTTTTGAACATTTTCATAGGAGTTAAAGGGACATCGTGTTTTATGGCGAGGGATGCGTTTCCATGGAAACGGCATATGGTGAGATTTCAGATTTGGCGTAGAGCTGTTGAGGCATAGACCGGTGATATACAAGTGAAGATTGGGGACGATTGGACCGTGTCCATTGGACTTACAGCGACATCGTGTTTCATGGCGAGTGGTCTGTCGCCATGGCAACGGCATTTGATGACACCCCATAATACGATTAGATGCGTTGATGGCTGCATCGTTAGAGAGAGAGAGAGAGAGAGAGAGAGAGAGAGAGAGAGTGTGAGAGAGTGTGTGAGAGAGTGAGAGAGAGAGAGAGAGAGAGAGAGAGACTGTGTGTGAGAGAGAGAGAGTGTTTGTCTGTGTGTTTGTGTGAGAGAGAGAGAGAGAGAGAGAGAGAGAGAGAGAGAGAGAGAGAGAGAGAGAGAGAGAGTGTGTGTGAGAGAGAGAGAAATTTCAAAACGTGAAGCATGTCAAGGAAGTTGAGTATCTGAAGAGTAACTTTTGTGTACTTTCGGGTTAATAATGTGGCCTTTTTGGCAGTTTAACTAAAGGTGTGCGGCTGCTGCTATGAGGAAATATCAGCCTGAAATTACAATGGGTTTTAATGGAGACATGTTGAAAGTTGTTGTCACTTCATGCCCTCAAGAGGCATTTTGTTTAATTATTTTTGCCTAATTATTTGTCATTTTTCAAGCTACGAGATGTTTTCCTACGTTTGTCATGAAAAATTATGTCTCAGGAATGTAGGGTTTGGGAATTATGGCAGTTTTAAAAAAAATATGAAGGCACATTTCAAGATTTCTTACCCTCTAGCTGTGACATCACGCACTCTAGTTAATGTTAAAATCTGAAGAAAGCCTCGTTACCAAGGTCTGAACAATGTTTAATATCTCTAAAAGTAAGAATCAGATTTAAAAGTTGTGTTACACGAATAATGTCAGAAAGATGTGTAACATTTTAAAGTTGGAATGAGGTTTCTGAGTGAAAGTATGAATGAACAGTTAGCAGTTGAAGTCACATGAAGATTGTTCAAGTCTGAAGATTTTCTCCATTGACTTCAATGGTTAAAAATGTGATGAATTATGGGATGTATCTCTGGAATTATGAAAGTTATGAATAATCCAAATGATAGCCATCGATTCCTGACCGAGCTGAACGTTTTGATGTTTGAACGGAGTTTCTGCGATGTTGAATGCAGGAGGAGAAGAGGTGCAAAATTCCGGCGGAATAATACAAATGTTGTCCGTACAATAACATTTAGTGGGAATGCTGTATCAGCATTCCCACTAAATGAATGGGAGTCCTGTAACCAGGGTTCGAGTTGTAAACTGAGCTCTATGGGGGTCTTTAAAACTAATGTGCGTGCACACACACACACACACACACACACACACACACACACACACACACACACACACACACACACACACACACGCACACACACACACACACACACACACACACACACACACACACACACAGCAGCAGCCCTCTACTTGTTACAAACTTAAATATGAAAAGCTTCAACTACGCATACCACATAACACATCATCTCGGCTCGCGCAGCACGCTCACAGGCATAGATTGCACAATAATGTATTGCGCACCTTGGAGGTGCAGTGCATTGTCATTCAAGAGAATGCGTAGTTATTTTGGAAAACATGTTTTTCTTTTCGCCTATTTACCTCGTTAACGTAAATAATACTCATTACATTGACACATGCATTATTTGTGATTAAAATAATGGTTGTTGGTAATGTATTAGCGACCCCCACAGATGTATGATTTCACTGCGTCCTGGGAGCTCAGACCCCTCCTTGTGGGAGCTCAGCTCCCATTGGCTCCCACATAACTCAAACCCTGCCTGTAACTGTTTGGCTAAGAGTGTTCCTGACAGGCACAGCTGTGCCTTCAGCTGCTCTGTTGGCATTTTCAGAATGAAATAGAGAGGGGTTATAAAGAACAGTCTGTGCCATATGAAGAACATGAACAGGTTATGTAAACATGATGCTTTGTGCATGTAGACATTTTAAATTAATTGGGTTTACATTTTAATTTATTAAAGTTTAAATAAAAACCTTTAATAAAAACCTTTTTTTTTTATATATTTTTTTAATTTAATGTAAAACAAATCTAATTGATGTGTCAATGTGGAATCTTAATTATATTGTTAGGAAGTTGACATCAAGGAAATCTTAATTTTATTGTTAGGAAGTTGAAATCAAATGTCATGCTTGACTAAAAAAAACATTACAAGTGTCACATGTAAATAAAGGCCAAAACTCAAGTTAGTGTTTAGTTTTAGTTTTTTAATCTTAATTGATATTTCAGTGCAAGTCAGAGTGAATTAAATAGAGGCATTTTGTCATGGCAAACGTCATCACAAATCTTAAAAAGCAAAACAATATTTAAACCACAGGAAATCCCTGTCCACCACTTTCAAATGAAACTGAATGAACTGTAGAAAGTACAATACAAATAGGAATGAGCTGCATTTTTTTCAGAATTATTACAACATTATCAGCACAACAATGACAGCAGTTCATTGGTTATCCTGAGTGGCGCATCAAACTTCTTGTTCAATACAATTATCATCAGCCTAAATTAAATGTTGTAAAAAAAAATTAACATTCCATGATAATAGCAGAAATAAATACGCAATTCTGATAGAGACCACAACCTTAAATGACCACTGGAGTAGACGACAAAGACTCTTCCTCTCTTTCGTCTCTTCCTTTACTGTGAGTTTATGATATGTTGTGTTTTCAGTAATGTGGTGTCTAATTATGGTAAACACATTACATTGCAAAGTGACTCAGTGTTTCAAAGTCTTCAGTAGTTATTTTCTCACATGAAACTTACTGGAAATATTACAGCCTCTAGCTTCAGAACTTTCAGAACAGAACTTTGAGATCTGTAAAACTTCACTCCACTACATCCAGTCGACAGCCATGAACACACAGTTTGTCTTAAAAATGAAAAGAAAATGTGTTTTATACGACTGAAATTAGAATTAATTGCATTTTTTCAACATATCCTTTGGGCAAAGACATTATGAATTTCCGGTGCAATAGTTCACTTATTTCTATAGTTTGATGATTATTCCTATAAACCGCTATAGGTACCTTGAGGTTACTGACTCATTGAATGATTAGTATATTTCTCATTGTCTGTATTGTATTAATACTGTTCACATGCTGTTGTAGTTACTTGAACAGTGAGTATATGAACAATATAATATCAGTACAGTACTGTACATAGTCACATGTTGTGGTGTACTTGTTCAAGTTTAACACTCTGGTGTTATTTCATAGAAAAACACTGGACCATTGACAATGTCACAGTCAATGGATTACCCCAATCATGAAACTAGAGGCCAAAAAGTGCAGCATTTTCCTAAAATAATAATTCCTTAAAACATATGTACCGGTACTTTGTACTTTGTTCCCTAGAGAGGATCTTATAATTTTCAAACACAAATCCATAATGTCCTATGATATCAATTATCGTTATGCAGGGAAACAGATTTGAAACCCTTTGTTGCTGGAGCTGGAGCAGTGATTCACATCTGCAGATTCTGGTAAATAGGAATGTAACTTCTCCCCGTCACTGCCACCATCCGACATTACAGATGACATCAGGTGGAGGAGAAATTCAGCCTCCTGTCCCTCTGACTGAGACTCTTGGCTACACTGATGGGGACTTTGTTCCTCCACAGCCTGAAGAAGCGCAGTAGAGAGAAGTGTCATATGCTCAATTACAACTCATTCAATAAAAGGAATAGGAATAGTCAGAAAATCAAAAAATATGAATATACTTTTTTGTCATTATTTAGGTAAGGAGGGCAAACAACAAAATATGTCATTTATATAAACCACAGACTGCTATCTTGTTATAAAAGTAGGTTATTTGACAATAGACATATTAAGGCAATGAAAAACATGGTGGTGCTTTGTCCTTCCTCGTGTAGGGGTATCTCAAAAGCTTGTTTGGGTATTTGTCAAATACTGAAAGTGACAAACATAATCTACAGGTGCCTTTATGGGCCAATAATGTGCGACACTATGACCGAGAGTGTACCTGATGAGCTGCAACGCAGGACACGACTGTAAGGCTCTGACCAGGGCCTCTGCTCCAAAAGCACTCACAGTGTTCGACTCCAGGCTGGGAGAAATAAACACACACACACACACACACACACACACACACACACACACACACACACACACACACACACACACACACACACACACACACACACACACACACACACACACACACACACACACACACACACACACACACACACACACACACACACACACACACACACACATTATTTGTTTACCCTTTGAATGTTAGTGTTTGTGGGGCAAGTAAGTCAACTAAAGGAGGAAGACAAACAACCAAACAAACAACACATCCTCTTCCGAAACTAATAAAGTGTTGTCTATAAAGACGTGAATAATGACTAAAGAAATGTTGTGCGTTAGAGTGTGTGTGTGTGTGTGTGTGCGCACAAACTCACTCAATTCTGGTCAGCTTCTGGCAGAGAGGCATAACTCTGGCCAGCTCCTCTGCCACCTTATCACCACAATTATTCCATCCCATACTGGAAACAGAGAAAGACAAATATGTAAAACATTTCAAAACGTCAACACCTCTTAAAATCAGGCCTGACAGACCTCACAATTCAAAATGGAGTCATATTTATGTTCTATACAGTACATAAGGAAAGTGAAGCCTTCGGACCTACCTTCATTTAGGCACAACACATCCTTTAAATGTGGCCTTATGTGGCCAAAGTCACTATAATACATACTATGTTAACTCAAACCACCCAAAAACTTACTTTTCATATTGGCATATTATTAAATTATCTTGAAATAAAAAAAACAAACAAGAAATGTGAATTATTTTTTTTATTCTTCTAAAAAAGCTACTTGAAATCTGTTTTCCCCAACACTTGTTTGTATTTGTGGTGTTATTTGTGATATCACACTTTAGTGGCTAGTGTTATAAATAGAGTTGTTGACTTATGACTTTACATCAAAAGACATACCACCAAACATCCAATAGGTGGTGCTGTAAGACCACCAATAACCCCCACCTTGCTCCTCACAACCTCATGTGCACCACCCCTCATCTACATGTGTTTCAGAGTACTTTCGACAAAGCAAAATTGCCAACAAGGGTTTAAAAGGTTATAGAAAACACTTTGGGTTACCATTAAAGATCTGTGTATGTTACTCCGAATGTGTTTTATGTCTCAATAATAAAGTATGAATAAAGGCGATTGGTGCTTTATGAGGAAAGCAATGTTCTCTCTTTAAACACAATGATCCATACTGTACATTTCCCATTGACAACCTTTATGTTATTGGGACAATGTTCAGACAAACTTGTAACAAAAGGCAATATGTTGATGCAGAAACACTTTACACTTGTTAATGAAGAAAAATAAACCAATAACTTTACATAATCCTTATAGTGAAGCATGGAGAAGGGGTCACCGTGACTTTATGTGGTCGTTTAAGGCCAAAACAACTGTTACTCAATGGAAACTATGCACTTAACTGGCTAAAAATATGTTTTATAAGTTTAAATTCCATGGAAGCTGTCAGTCATCTGATTTTAATAGAAGTTGGGAAATGTGACAGGAAAATGCAGATAAACATACTGAAAAAATGACCTACAAAATGTCTTAGACTAAAGAAAATTCATGTTTCAGATTGGTCAATCATGGCCTCGAATGTATTTAGATTCTGTGGAATTAACTGAAGAGAGCCATTCATGAAAGACATTCCTAGTTTTGTGAGGTAACATGGTCTGGCCGATGCGGAAATGCCGTAAATATTTGGTTGAGGTCACCGCTTTGTAGCAATAGTTTACTATGTACTAAAACCAAGGTTAAATGTATTTTTACAACCTGCCATTAAATGTTGCAGCACACAACTCCAAAAATCCTTTAGAGCATGCGATCGTCTCACGATATTTTTTCATGCACGTGCACTCCGCTCTGCATCAGCCAAACGGCTCGCTGCACCCGCACTACGATGGGGACCCAAGTTCCCATCAGCAAAAACATGTCGGTTTGCTATCCTGGCTCCAAAATGGTGGAATGAGCTCTCCATTGACATCAGGACAGCAGAAAGCCTACACATCTTCCGGGGCAGACTAAAAACTCATCTCTTTCGACTCCACTTCGAGCAATAAAATGACTAACAAAGCACTTATATACTAACAAAGGACTTATATACTAACTAAGCACTTATATACTAACTAAGCACTTATATACTAACTAAGCACTTATATACTAACAAAGGACTGGCTTATCTAAAGCTAGTTGAGTAGCACTTGAAATGGTTTGGCTCTATGAAACCTGATGTACTTATTTAGTGGGAATGCTGTTAACAGCATTCCAACTATCTGTTCTTCTACGCACGAAATTCTTTATTATTCCACCTGTTATTTTGGCCCTCTTCTTCTCCCACATTCCACATCGCAGAAACTCCGTTCAAACATCAAAACGTTCAGCTCGGTCGGGAATCGATGGCTATTACTTTTCTTATTCATAACTTTCATAATTCCCGAGATATAGCCCATAATTCATCAAATGTTTAACATTTTAACTTTAACATTGCGCAGCTCGTTAAGGCAGAGTGCGTGATGTCAGAGTTAGAGTGGAGGACAGTTTGAAATTTGCCTTCATATTTTTTTTTAAAACTGCCATAATTCCCAAACCCTACATTCAAATAATTAAGCAAAATAATTAAACAAAATGCCTCTTGAGGGCATGAAGTGACACAAACTTTCAACATGTCTCCATTAAAGCCCATTGTAATTTCAGGCTGATATTTCCTCACAGCAGCAGCCGCACACCTTTAGTTAATCTGCCAAAAAGGCCACATTATTGACCCGAAAGTACACAAAAAGCACACTTCAGATACTCACGGTCCTTGAGATGCTTCACGCTTTGAAATTTCACCGATATCTGTTATGGTTCTTCCACAAAACGTTCACATGTAACAGGTTTATCTCTCATTCAGAACAATGGAAACCTCTGATCTCTGGACGCCTCGTTAGCTCAAATATAAACACCTGTGTCATGGAACACGATGATGTCATAACTCCAACTGACATGCTCAGAGCAGCAGACTTCAGATAGAGCGACACTTCACCATGAAACACGATGTCGCTGTAAGTCCAATGGACACGGTCCAATCGTCCCCCAATCTTCACTTGTATATCACCGGTCCATGCCTCAACAGCTCTACGCCAAATCTGAGATCTCCCCATATGCCGTTTCCATGGAAACGCATCCCTCGCCATAAAAGACGATGTCGCTTGACATTAACTCCTATGAAAATGTTCAAAAAGTGCTCAAACTTCACATGTGTGCTAACAGTCCAGCCGTGACGACATCTACGTGAGAGTTTTGAGATTTCTTCAAATGCCGTTGCCATGGTAACACAAGGCTCGCCATGAAACACGGTTTTCTCATAACTTCAGTGAAAATGCTCCAAATGGCCCAAAACTTCACAGGTTTGGTAACGATGCAGCCATCCACACATTTAAGCGTATTATGGGGTGTCATCAAATGCCGTTGCCATGGCGACAGATCATTCGCCATCAAGTTAGTTCAAAAGTTTGCAGTTCTAACCCTAACCCTAACCCTTTTTACTTTCTTTTCTTCTCTCATCACACATTCAAGTGTTCATGTATCATTTCAATCTAAATTCTTCACTTTCTTCTTACACATTACATTTTAGCATAGCAGTTTAGCGTCAGATTTTCAGCATAAAGCATTCCCACTAGCAATTTCATTCTCTAGTATGATTCTGTTTTCTTCTAGTTTGTATCTTCTTGGTCGAATGGACTTATTGTAAGTCGCTTTGGATAAAAGCGTCAGCTAAATGCAATGTAATGTAATGTAGCTTGTCCATGATTAGTATATGATTAGGCTGAAAAGAATAATGTAGCACATTTAAGGACATCCTTCAAAGACTTCCGCTACCAGGGCAACTCTGAATCTAAACATGGACTACTTTTGTCCAAACATCTTTATCAGAGATTAACAGCGATCCTTCTCATTGGCATCCAGCAGATGGCATCTGTTGGTCCCTATAGGATCATATCAATTCTGATGGAAGGAATCTTGGCATATGGTCTGACAGTCTTTTCAAACATACTTATATCTGACAGCCTTTCCGGATTTACTTTAGTTTGAATTCCATTTAAACTATCTTTTATTTATTTATTTAAATAATTGTATTTTCCTACTATAACCTTACTATACACTATATTGATTTTTACTACCAAACTTAAAAAAAAATACTTCGGTCTTATTAAGATGCCATTGTAAAGCACTTAACATGGACTTTTATATACTATTTAATTTGTATCTACAGCAGTACTTTTCTTAGCTTCTGTTCTGGCACTCCTGTCTCTAGTTTTCTAACCTGGGGGCAAGCCTGCCATCTACTGTAGGAAATACACTGACTATGGAAAAGTACCTCCAACATCCTAACTGTCCCGGTGTCTGTAATATAATAACATACATCCTTGATAATTATTTACTGACAATGTATTATATGACATGTTTCAACCTTACCCCACATCCTGTATGAGGGGACAGTGGGCCAGACTGGCAGCAACATCACACAGCTCCGAAGTCCCAACAGAGGTCAGTCTGCCACACCATACGAGGAAAAGAAACATAACATTTAACGCAAAGCCTGTATTGATAAATATAGTCAGCCATTAGGGTCTTGATTAGAAGAAGCTTAAGAGTCTTACTGAAGCTTAGTGAGGTTCTTCAAGCACATTACTGCTTTGGCCAGATTCACTGACCCTTCCTCTCCAATCTTGTTCTCTGCAATACTGGAAAGACACAAAAACATTAACCTCAGGATATCAAATGTAATAATTATTAATAGGAACTGTGAAAGTGACTTACTCCAACACAGTGATGTGTGTCAGTGACGGTAGAACCAGGGCCATCCTGGCAGCGGTGAGATCTCCGAGACTGTTGCTAGACAGACTGCAAGAAAGCATGGTCGAGATGTTTTAATTTTGTAGCATTATAAATGTGCCAAAAAAATGTAATTTCTATTCTTTTTTACTGTATATACTTATATATGTATAAACTGCAAGTTTATATTTCTGTTGATGTAGTCATTTGGTCTTTATATAACAGTCTAACTTCTAGAGTCTAGTTCATCTAGAACGTCTATACGTTTTTTCCACCTTTTAATTATTTTAATGCCTGAACACTTTGCTGCTGTAACAAAATAACTTCCCAATTTGTGATGAATAAAGTATTTATCTATCTTTATGGAAAACTGTACTTGTTCCCAGCATAGAACACTTTAAGAATATAAATGTTTTTAGATGTGGTAATAACAAAGGGCTTGTGCATCAAAATGTTTTATAGCTATAAGTCTCATTTCCAGGATAGAAAACGTCAACATGGTTAAAAGGAGACACACTCATTCATTTAAAGCCTTTAAAGCAAATAGACCCTGTCATTTATTCACAAGTCACAAATAAGTGTGAAATCTTTGCACTCACATCCCGAGTCAAGACAGTTAAGTTCTATACTTTGACTTTCGTGTCCTAAACAGCTCATCATGCGCTCTTGACCAAATGTAAGTCCTTAGCATAGAGAACTATCTTTCATATCATTTCTTCCAAATGGCACTCAGAAACACAACATTCTTCTGCAACATGATTTGATGTTGTTGGATTGGATTGAAGTTAACTTGCTGGGAATGACTTCATTTGAGGTGATTCAGGATATGAATGGAAATAAACAGATTTTTGGCACACGTTTAAAACTGTATACTTTTTCATCTTTGGGCTTAAAAGGCTCGAGGAAAGGAAAGTCACGAGTCATTGTTGTTAAAGTCTGAGTCGAGTTGCGTGTCACTTTTGGATTTAGCCAAGATTCCTTTAAATGTTGTATTGCTTCTTTAGCAATGGGTAGAATAAGTGCAAACGTTATTGAATACATGACAGAATCTTCACCTCTAAAAGGTGTTTCATTGTATTTTCCTAACAGCATTCACAGGAATAAGACAATAAAACAATGACATTATTTCCTTACTGGAGCTCTTCCAGGTGACTACATCTGTTCAAAGCCTCCAGTAGCTGGTCTCCTGATTGGTCGCTGATAAGGTTCTTTGACAGACTGTGAAATACACAAACACACAACATATATTGAAATAAGTAGTTTTTTCTATAATGACATAGGGGAATGCAAAGCCTACTACTTCAGTGGCTTCTATGAAGTCCGATTGATTATCAAGAGCAATGAAGCAATATGCAGCCATAACACACAACAAATAAATGCCTTTACCATTACAATAACGCATGCCGTGCATAAATAAATACAACCCCTAATGCTGGAAGACCCAGTGGCTGTCAGTCCCATGGTTGAAAGTAAAAACCTGATGCTAAATGTAACGTTGGCGCTCGTAAAGAAAAAACTTCACACATGGATGATCAGGCTGGGCATGCATATGATCTTTACCATCAGCATAATTGAACACCGGCCAAAAATACGAAAGATTATGCTATCATTTATCACACTTAGGAACAACAACAATTTAAGAACCATAAAATAATTACCTGCAGGTTTATAATAACATGTATGATGTATACTAGTGTACAATATAAAGTGGAGAGGGTGCGCATTAGAGACCATTCCAAGCCATGCAGGTATTTAAAGGGTACATTCACTACAGATCTCACAACAGGGAAAATAATTAAAAAATATTATATATATATATTTAATAGTATAAATAATATTGGAACATACACAGCGGCGTAAAATAATTGTGAAAGATGTGACACATGTAAATTGACAGATTGTCATTTGAGTAGCTCCTTAGTTAATAAATACTTTTTTGTATTCTATACTAATGTTTGATTTGATATGGTTTTAGCTATGGTTATATTCAAGCATGCATATTGGATTTGAAACATGAGGAATGAATAAAACAATGATGTCTTAAGAATATGAGACTTTTATCACAAACATTGAACTTGGCAGCAGTAAAGAATGCCCTCTGAAAGTCCGGTCATGTACACAAGTCAATGGATTTAGTTAGTTAGCACCCCCCTCCCCCAAAGCTGTAGACCCCTGACCCACATAGCAATCAAGAGTAAATGTAGAAAACAACTTGTAAAAGGTCACACGCATACTTGTATTACACTTCTAGTACTACTGTGTGAGAATGGCCAAGGCAGATTGCAGCTCCTCTTATTACCATAGAGCAGCAGTTCCCAACCTGTGGGCCACGGCCCCCTAGTGGTCCGCGAAGGCATTGCAAGTGGGCCGCGAAATAATTTGCAAAACATTATGATTTGTGTGGAAACATTTCATTATTAAGATTTTTTTTTATTTGAACCTCTTTTCCTTTTTCTTTCGTGATCCTCCTTAGCAACGGTCATTACAGTCCTTGACAGCGGACTGTACTACTGGATTAACAACGTGTTACATGTTCTGAATCGACCAATCAGAATCGGGTATTCACAGTGACGTGCAGTGAGGTTCGTGGCTGGTGAGGCACTGACTCTTTCAGAGTCAGATTTACAAATACTATATTTTGAGCTATATCGAAATATTCTTATTATTTTCATAATTTTAAACAGACTGTTCAACAAAAGGATACCCAAAATCTAAATATTGGATTGTTCTTTCTTAGTAAGATCCCATTTTCATTACAAATGTGGTCTTACCTTGACTTGAAGATGAAGTCCATGCTATCCTTCTGGACAACAATCTCTATTACTTTTTTGTAAAAGTCCTCCTTATTTTCCTCTAGTTTCAAAAGTCTAGTTTGTTGTTTGCGTCTACCGTCTCTGCGTAGAATAACAGTAGCAACAAGAACCTGTGGGCTCACGTGCGCCCCCTTCAGTGCGGCAGAGGTTCAGTGCCGTTGTATGATGAGACCAGCGAGCCTAAATAATATCATATACGTGAAATAAGTTATTTAGAGACTATGGATGGCGAGGACACATGTAATAAAGGGATCTACAAACATTACATTTGTGACCTACAGTGAGATGGTAACAGGCATGCACTTAGGGCCCGCACTCCAGCCAGTTTCTGTGGGGTGACGCATCTGAGGTGAGGCAGAGCTCATCTGTGCCTCACTTACCCCACAGTAACTGGCTGGAGCGCGCTCACAAAATAAGTGCCCGCGCTAAATTAGTGCCCGCGCTCCAGTCAGTTTATGTGGGGTTACGTGAGGCAGAGCTCGTCCCTGCTTCACTTCTCATCGCTCCCATGTAGTTGTAGCGGAGCTCGGCAAATTTGCCGATTTTAACTATAAAAAGCGATTGGAATCATACAGAAATCACACTTACAACACAGATCAGTGGAGACATTTTATTATTATTATTATTTAGTTTTTTTCCCGTTACATTGGAGTATGACAGGTGAGGCGCTGCCTCCCCTGCCTCCCCTGACTGCACGTCGCTGAGTATTCAATTAAACCGTGTAATACAAATGTCTGTGTGTTACTGATAGCCAGCTCCTTTTCTAATTAAAATAAAAAGTACTCTGAGAACTTTATTTAGCCTCCATATTGTTTATGGTTGAATGTGGGCCGCACATTTTTCTTAGATTCTTAAGTGGGCCCTGAGTTGAAAAAGGTTGGTAACCGCTACCATAGAGTATTCATACACTGCTTTCACAATGAGGAACACCAGCTAATATGAGTTTTTTAATTGTTTCTACAAAATAACTATTTGTGAAAATGTACTATTTGTGATTACATTTGTAAAGAAAAACACAATATTTAAAGGGTTTTAGTTCATTTGAGACTTAAGCACAACCACTTCCAATGGCTTGGATTAATATTACAGAGGCCCTATATGCTTTTTGGGGTTTCCCTCGCCTGTGTGTTACTGTATATAGGTTTTTATACATGTAAATGGTCTGCAAAGGCTAAAATCCTCTGGTTTCAGACAGAGGGTGAAAAGAGGTTCTGCAACACAGGCAGTATGAGACAAATAAAGAGCTTTTTGAACATTAAAGCATGTACATATGTCAAAGTAGAGGCACAAAATACAAATATGAGCCTAAAAATGAGCAGAATATATCCTCTTTAATAGAATGTATTTGCATTTGTATTGCTATTCTGAATGAGTCTTAAACTTTGTGGTTTATTGCACTTATTGTGAGTCACTTTGGGTAGAAGCATCAGCTAAATCAGATATAATGTTATGTAATGGACCAAATTCGACTTCACCCCTACTGCCTACCTGATCTTCCTGAGCTCCGTCCAGGCTGGAAGAAATCTGCTAAGCTGCTCTATTCCTCTGTCAGCCATCCTCCAGCCATTCAACCTGACAGCAAGAACACATCCAACATCACTGATATATTTCAAAATAAATATTCAAATCACATTTATTTATGTGCTAGCATGCTCACTCTATCTCCTCCATTAGTGTTAGTCCCTCTGTGGCAGCTAGGAGATGTAGCACTTCGTTTTCTTTTGATGGTCCTGTTGCTGTGGCCGTCTTATTGAGCCTGACACACAATATGTACACATGAAAGCTCAACATTACTGCTCAGACAAGCAATCTGGTTGCATTGGTTTGATTGTATTGGGCCGAAGAAACTAGTCTGTAGGGACTTGGCTTGGGAAACAGAGGGTCCGGAGTACGGAGTGAGGACTGGCACTTTGAGGGGTCCCAGTCCACCTCCTGGACACACAGCAGCATAATGTGGTATAATAGCTGCCCACTGCTCATAAAACGGATATTTTAAATGCAGAGACCAAGTCATTTTAATCATCCATTTCCATTTAGCACCCCATTGACTTCTAATGGTCCCATTGTTTATTTAGCCTGACACACTCACAATGCACAAATCAAAGGTCACAACTGCTGCAACAAAATCCTTGCATAGGTTCCAAACAAGTTGTGGACATCTTTCATGCGTGGAGGATTTGTATCCATGTAAGAATGATGAGTATTTATTTGCTGTCTAAACAACATTGAGAGGAGCAGTGTATGCCGATGACTGACCTCCAGCTCATCAGTGAGTAACTATTTACAAGTTAACACTATGAGAGAATGTGGAATAGCATATTTCTCAGAGGGACAGTTGGAGCAGGCGATCCCCCCACCCCCCCAATTATAGAAAGTGCAGCAACAGCAGCTGCAGCATCAGCAACTGCAATGTGAGAGCAGATCTTAAATAGACCGGATTATAAGAAGGGTACCTGATATGTGTAAGAAAGTACATGAGTGTGACTTAAGCAGCACATAAAGACGTCCGCTTGGAATAGCTTGGTGGGCCTGACTGTGTAATAAAATACTTAAACCTACATAATGAATAGCTATACACAGGCCGCGCGGTTTTGGATTAGTCTTCTTAATGATTTGAAAAGGTCAGGAGTTCTATCGTGTTTTTTACTTGAGACTTCGGATGGACTTGATATTCCTCAGTACGTGTGCCAGACCCACTCGGCTTTCCTCATTCAGCTGCACGGAGTCCAGACTTGGGGCGCACACATAAACATAGAGAAACAAAAACAGGAAAAAAACATATCGACTCACTTTTAGCATAGACAATCAAAAATCTACAGTGGGATTGAGATTAGATTAGATTTTTGAATGCTGCAAAATAAATCAATGGCAAGGAAAACGTTATGATTGATCAGTGAGATCTTTACGAACGAACACTACCTGTAAGACATTTGAGGCCTAGATGCAAATGCCAGTAGTAAAAAGCGTAATGCCTTAGACAAACTAAACCACCCTCACAGCAACTGCCTTTTAACAGTTGTCATAACTGCGGCTTAATTTGACACAACACGGGAAACCTCACCCGGCCCGGACACGGTTGACAGATTGATTTGAACCTCACGGCATTGAATCAAAGACACATTGACATTGAAAGGAGTAAGTGAAAGTGAATAAATGCTAAATCCCTTCCTCATTATAAACCACTTTTTCTTCAGTGTATTCAGACATTTGTGTACACATGATCATTAGTATAAGTCTTACCAAAGGCCTTCCAGGCGGACACTCTCTCCCAGTCCCTCGAGGAGCTGCAGCCCTCCTGCCGCCGACCACTCACAGTGAGAGAGGCTAGAATTACAAATTACACAATCCCCATGAGTAAGTTCCACATTATGAGCTCTTTATTTCTTTGACATGGTGGCGATTGATCAATGAAAATAATGTTCCCTTGTGGAGGAGTGTTATTATGTTCAAAGCTTACTTGAGTGATCTCAAAGTGGGCAAGATTCTGGTCATAACATGGGCTGCTGAGTCACTTATCACATGACCTGATAGACTGGGAGACGGAAGATTACATTTAAATTCATTAACATAACACAAATAATGTGCTGGATGTACGCTATCCATTCAGCGCTAGGTTTTTGTTGTGATGAAAATGTGTTTGTTGCTCACTTTAAACACTGAATGGCTTTAGCCTGCAGCAAGGCCTCTGACAGCTTCTCAACCACAGTCACACAAGTCTCTTTGGAACCAATACTGCAGAAGACAAAAGAAGATGGTTGTCATGCTAGAACTTTAAAGCAGGCAAGAGTAAAAGCGTCAAAATGGGAAAAATGTCCCACCTGAGAGAAGTGAGATTTGGCAGCAAGGGCAGGACAGAACAGAGAAACTCAGCTCCCTCTGCACCCAGGCTGTTGTGGGACAAACTGTGAAAAATCACAACAAACATGACAAAAATGTCTTCCTTGAACACTGCTATGTGCATGCCATATTTATAACCAGAAAATAGAGAGTACTAACTCCAGCTCTGTCAGTGAAGAACACTTGGTGATTATACTCTCCATAGATGCAAGGTGGTGCCCCTCCACTGCACAGTCCACGAGGCTGGGGGGGAGACGGAGAGGAGAGATTGACACCTATAACTGCCAGCAAGTTATGTGCTGCACATGTTAATGGTGTTATGTCGCATTTGCACACTTTGTCGGAAGGAAAGCCACCATGAAGTTGTAATTATGGGATTTAAATGCAGCTTTGCTTCACTTTGAGGTATTTACTTTGAGTAAAAAAAAAAAAAAAAGGTACCTTATTTTCTTTGTGGCCATGGATGGATTCAGATCTGCAGAGTCCTCACTGAAAACACAAACACACATAAACCAAAGATATGTATCATATTTGTATGCGTAACACATAGCTCACAGTTAAAGTTTAACATTTATTCAGATAAAAATACTTAATTCAATATGTCATTTTTTGCATGCCCCCCTCGAAAAACAGACAATCTGTCTCCTATTTCACTGAATAGCCTCAGTGCATAAACCATCATACACCTTACTAGCTTCAAAACTAGTTTACGAACCAGCAGATGTCACACTTTGAATATTGAATACAGTATATTAAAGAGCAGGAGGACTTTGATGTTGTGTTGATTTCCCGCCCCCTCTGGACAAAGGTTTCAGTGTTTTCAAAAACCAGGGTCCCTTTAGAAAACCTCAGATTTTACTGCAGCACGGTCTTACAGTCTGCCTCCCACACACATTGAGAATAAGTGTGTAGAAATAGCCAATCATTTTTCTTCCATACTTATGTAGGTCATATGGAGGCATCAGTATGAAATTGAGACTGTTCATTGCCAGTTTAGTTCCTCGTACAAATTTAAATAGGCAACCTAAATATTGTACCTGAGTTCAGTGGATTTCATCAAAGACAGGTGTAGCGTAGTGTTGTTAACCCTGCAAAGTAAATGTGTTTAGCAGAAAAATGGCGATGCGGGACATTTTACAGTGAGTTTAAACAAAAAAATATCTTCCAACATGTGTGATTGCTTGCTTATCTCACCTGATAGTGTGTATGTTGCTGCTGAGCTCCAGACAGCGACACAGCAAACTAACAGCCTCCTCAGATCTGATCCAATATTCCTCAATACTGACAAGAAAGGGAAGTGAGATACAGCTCAGTATTCCAGCAGTGCAACATTAGTGTTGAAGTGGAAGGCTACAGCTAACATATTTCCACCTAATAGCACAGGCTGCATCACTGTGTTCTTTATTACCTGACACTGACTCCTCTCTGACTGCTGTTTAACAGTTTCACAAAATCTGCTATCCAATCAGAGTCCAGCATATTGTTCTTGAACCTGTGGAGCAAGCACAGAGTAAGAAAATAAACAACAGGACAACCTGAAACAACTAAGGGTTCTTCTGATGCATTTATGTTCAATGTGTCAATATTACATGAAAAAATTATATTTGTCAGTCTCTTGAGTAAAAAAAAAGATAAGTGTGTTCCAACCCTGTGTTAAGTGGTAATTAATTGAGTAGTTTTAAGAATGTTTCATAACACAAAGCATTTTCCTTAAGGTAACTACAGTTTTGTTTTTAAATACATGTTTTTTGTTTTTTTCTTCCTCCAAAGTGAAAGTTCTGGAGAAGCATTTTATATGACAATAGCTAAATTATGAATGTATCTGGCGATGGAGGTGTCCTTACTCCAGTTTGATCGGACTGGGACAGATAGACACGATCTCTGCTAATCTGATCAGATGGTCATGCTCCAAACAGCTCTCTCTGACGCTGGAACAGAGGCAGAATATTGGAGAGAACAAACAAAGAAAGTCAACACGAGGACAAAATGACACACTGCCTAACTGAGGCATGCAATTCAAAATGAAACCTTTGAACCACCATGTGACGATGTGAGACAACAAAGAAATGTAACAGTTATTTTAAGTTTTAGTGATGGGTTCTATTAAATGGGGGGCCACATAAAGACAACTCACAGACAGAGCTCCATACATAACAGAAGCACGTTTGGTTAAGGTTAAGAGGATATTAAGAATTGTGTAAAGTGGGATTGTATGACTTAAGTTTCTATAGTTAGTGTATTACTACAGCAGATGGCCGTCAGCTTCTTTTTTTATTTGTGACTTTGGTGTTTTAAAGGGTAAGTTTGGAATCACAAAAGTCACACAAAAATAAAAACATACTAACCAATCATGGCAGATGTAGACCGGCATCTACTGTACTGTGTTTTCAAGTGAAATATAACTGTATTTGTCAAAGAAGTCTTGTGGCTTCAATTCCTCTAAAGTCACACATCTGAACTATCCCTATATTTGCGAACTCAAAAAGAAAGCCTCTGCATAGTCACACAGTAGAAACTTGTACTCTTAATGTTTGTGTGTTGGCCTACCTCAGCG